CTCTTGTAATAGCATCTAAAGTAGTACAGTACAGATTTTCCTCCATCTTGTCCATTGCGCTCTTCACTCCTTGCCCTCCATCTGCATTCCGCGCGTCAACACAATCACGTGACTGCAAACCACCTATTAACCAGCAGGGTGTGCACAACGCACAGACTGGTGTGTAGAGGTAAATTACAGTGAGCCGTTAGAGACGGGAGACCAAAAATAAATTGGCGGTCAATTTTAAAGACTAAAAAAATTGCCATCGACTAATTTGCATGGTCGATTGCGTCGACTAATCACGGCATCACTACTCAGGTCCCCCTGGCCACCAGGCGAAGTACCACCTCTCGTGGAGGGGGTAGATCGGGGTGTGGATGAGGGGACTCTCCCCCTGACGAGGTCATCGAGTCTCGACTGAAGTGCTGTGTCGGTCATGTTCCCGCAGTGAGAACATGAATCATCTAAAAATGCTGTCTTAGCATGATCTATGCCCAAACACGCATGACAGCGATTGTGCCCATCAAACTCAGAAACTTGCCAACCGCAACCAGAATGCACGGGTTAAATGTACTTTGAAAAGATGTGCCATGCGCAAGCTCTTTTGTGAGAGGAAAAAACTCTGCAGAGTGTTGAAGCAACCAGGAAAAAAACACACTCAGACAGATCACTGCACAGATCAGTAGGGAATGTGCGCTTGCTGGAAATTGCCGTCACACCAACACCTGGAGAGAAGGTCGTCTCGAAGAGAGTTGAGATGAAGTCGCAGGATGGTTAGGGGAGTGAAGTGATACACTTGGCTCCGAAGTGAAAACATTTCTGCATGTTGCCAGCGTACTTCCTTATATACCCACGAGGTGGGGTGGAGTTACGCTATGTAAAATCCGCAGACCCATGGCATTTCTTTGCCATTGGCTCGTTTTATTTTTCAAAGATGAGAGGCTTTTTTAAGCGAAAGCCCATTCGTCGTCACAACGTAGCTCGTAGTGACTACGAAAAAGAACCAGGGTTACATACGTAATATTCAACCTTTCAAACTCAGTTTAATATAATTTAAGTTGAAATTACTTACAGTATACAGCCAAGTTGATTAATTAATGTCAATACGGGTTTAAATAAAGACTTTAAACATTATTGTTCACTGTTAGTTTATGACACCTCATATATTAACTAATGTAAAAAAAAAAAATAACCTCATTGAAAAGGGTTAAAGGGTTAGTTCACCCAAAAATGAAAATTGTTGTACTTGTATTTCCTTTCACCCAGAAAGGAAATAAAGACATCATCAAAGTAATACATGTGACATCAGTGGGTTAGTTAAAATGTTTTGAAGCATTGAAAATACATTTTGGTCCAAAAAACAAAAAAAAAGTACGACTTTATTAAACATTGTACTGTCTTTCGGTTATGTCTGCAGTGACGCTGGTGACGTAAGACGCTGCTGACGTGTTCTCTGGTAATCAGTGAACACGTCACCATCATCACTGCGGACTCGTGAATGCAGAAACGGAAGAGAATACAATGTTTTAAAGTCATAGTTTTTGTTATTTTTGGACCAAAATGTATTTTCGATGCTTAAAAACATTTGCTCAAAAACAAACCCACTGATGTCACATGGACTACTTTGATGATGTCTGTATTTCCTTTCTGGACAAAGATAGGCACCTTACACATTTACAATGCAGGGACAGAAAACTCTTGAACTAAATCTAAAATATCTTCAGTTGTGTTCCGAAGATGAACAGAGGTCTTAGGGACTTGTAATCGCATGAGTGCGAGTCATTAATGACATTATTTTTATTTTTGGGTGAACTAACCCTTTAATAAATTATCCTACAAGTACACACCAACTCACCAATTTATGCATTCTAGCATTTGCATTCTTTATTGTTACAATTTTAATTTGGCACAGGAACTTAAAAAGTCATGCTAGATGCTGAAAATCAGCAAGACATGACAAAATAAACCAAATTAAAACGTTCAACAAAATAAATGTTAATTTATTAAAGGTCCCCTGACATGAAATTTTCACTTTCTGAGGTGTTTTAACATTAATATTAGTTCCGCTAGCCTGTATTTAGTCCCCTCGTGTCTAGAATGTTCAATCGGTGTAAACCAAGCTTTGGCTATTTTTCTCTTCTCTTCTTTTTCTCTTCCTTAACTTGGGCCAATACAGAACTGGCCTCGATGAACGTCTGAAAATAAATTGACCGAGCTACCCAGCAACAATTTCTGATGTGTAGCCTATTGTTCAAGTTCAGACAGGTAAGTTAATCTTTCTATCAAAATCGTTCAATACTGTTTATGCATAAGTCAAGCCAGTGACTAAAATATCAACTTATATCAACATCATTTCTTTTAGTAGGATGAAAATAATCTTATTTAAATTGTGATCAAACTATACAGAAAGTGATCAAAGAACAATCTTTCCACACAGCGCAAGTTTATCTGGACAACTCGTTATGAAATCAATGACGCACACTGCACAACGACGCTCTTACTGTACAGTATGTATATCAGCGTGTCTGCATTGGTGAAAGCATTAGAGAGAGCAGAAACTGGGTTACAATGATAAGACCTTCATTCTCGCGATCAACAGACTGTCCTCTGCTTGCTCAATGCTCATCACAGCAACATTTTAAGTGATGGGAATAGATCTAAATACTTCAAAATCTTCTCACGATTCGTTAATCTCAATGGCTGTAATAGTAAAAACGTATAATAGCTGTAGTAATAGTATTCGAGAGAGTTAGAAAAATGCCTAGAGAGAGGCTAGGAAAAATGCCTTAGAGGAAAAAAACATTAAGTAAAGAAACTGCAAATCTGCATATTAAACACTGTTTTGCATTTGAGTTTTCATCACACATTTCATACACACACCATAAAGAAAAACAGTAAATTAAAATAAAATAAATGTGAAGTACAATTACTCTGTATTGGTATTAACATGAATCCCTTTCTAATGCCACACCCTGCACATATTTAGACTGTGCTATGCAGTGTGTTGAGAAACAGACATACAGTGTGAAAGAAAGACAGAAAGAAAGATAAAGATAGGTCTTTAAGCCACAAAATAGGTAGCAATGGTCCAAACCAATCTGCCACGTCCTTCCCCTACCCAACCCCTCCACCTCACCCCTCCCCGCCTCACACCACACTAGGACCAGCAAGTCAGATATTACCGTTACAGAGCCTCTTACATAAGCAGCCAGGGACACAGTCTGTTTACTGTTGCGTAATAACTAAAGACAGGGAGGGTCTAAAGTTGATCATGGCTAGTGGAATCAGGCCAGAGGAGGTCTGAAATCATGTTTATTTCTTCTTATTGCTACACTATGTTACCACCATAACACTGTTAACCAACTAGACACATGTACAGCTGATCCTACAACATACAGAGAGAAAACATACTGAGCAAAGCAACCGGTGATTGTGCAGTTCAGTGAACCCTGAGAGAAACAAATGATTCACAGGCTGAACATTTCTTTAAATGGGCTGAAGAAATAACTATCCCTCTTCTTTTTTTTCTGTGTGCATCTCTTGATTAAAAGAGCAGTCTGGGGTAGCACCATATTGGGAAGTCTAAATCGAGGCTGAATCATCACCAAGATAAACATACGTGCAATTTATTATTTGCCCTGGTGCATAGAGAAAAATATCCACCAAATACACTTCATCCTGAACACTAAACTTAGTTTAAATCTGTAGATCACTAAATCTGTAGTTTTAGGGTTCAATTAAGTGTTGTTTTCATAAAAGAAAGTTTTGCAATAAGAAAGAAAATGTGTATTGGTAGATGTGTATTCTTATGCAACTATTCCAGGGCACAGTTTGAATCACACTCCTTTAACATGCATCAAGAATCAAGACACAGGAATTTTAATTAAGAACTATTAACTCAGCAAACTGCAGAGAATGTCAACTAGTGCCAACATGCAAAGCATCAACAAAACAACTTCAAATTCTGCTAATACAAATCATTGTTATCAATATATCACAATAAAATCACCATACAACAGCTTGGCATGAAAAAAAGTCCCAAAGCGTCTAAAGAGCTAAGGAAGTCCATAATTTATATCAGTTTTGTTCTCTTTAAATAGTACTGGATATTTTTCAGGCAAGATAAAAATTGAAACTGATATTCTGATTTGAATAGAATTCTATTTCTTCAAGTATATCTCATTTTGTAATCTATAATTGTTTCTATTATTAGTGCTTTGTTCTAAATGAATTCATATGTAATATGTTAATAATTAGTAAATAATAGTAATAACAACTATTTATTATTATTAATAATATAATTAATTGTTTTACTTATAAAATATGTTTATTATATGTTCATATTTTATTAATCATACTGTATTTTCTTACAGACTACTTTGGAGTTACTTATTAGTAATTTCAATAATAATATTTGGTTCAATTATATGAAATGTATTAAAAACAATATATTAAAAAAAAAGAATAAAAGAAATCTCATAAACTAGCCAGTTCATTTAGACTCTTAAGTGACATACTCATGAGCTGTGTAAATTCTGCAAGAAACTGCGCCTTTGTTCAGATTCCAATTGACATGCTAAGCAGAGGAAGAGACTTGCATTTTTCTAGAAGTCTCTATGTATTCATTCTATATGACCTTGAATTCTGAGGTCTCTCCTAGCCAGTAGCAGAAGAGCCTGGATATGGTATGGAGACTGAACAAACAAAGCAGGCCTGGTTACAGGGCACCATTCCAACAGAGGGGGAAGGGATGGCCCATACACAGATGCAGCCTTCACACACACACACACACACACAAACAGCCCACAGACCCTGCCCTCTCTCCTGCCCCTGAAACTCTCTCCGTATAAGAGCCACTGGTAGAATATTGCAGAGCTTGCTTTGGTAAAAATTATTAGTTGTGAAATGTCGAGCTGTTTCTTGGCTTCTACTCACTTGCTTCCATAGAGTATTCCCCTCAGAATTTCTTAATCATTTACCATGCAATGAGAATTTTAACAAACTAACAGCAAACTTACCATTAGGGCATTTGAGGCACAAACGCTGTGAAAACCATGATAGAAAGCAGCAAACTGCCTGTAGATGGACTTATTCAGTAGGAAATCAATGTAGAGCTGGATGTATTCTGTGCAGGGACAAACAGATCAGTCCTTCAGTAGCGGGAATAAGACAATGAGGCAATTCATGTTTCAAAGCGAAAACACAGTCATGCACATAAGCAGAGTGGAGACTCTCTCACCTTTTCTGTTTAGGTTGGTAACAGGAATCTTGTCCCCTCCTGGTTTCAGATTATATGACTTGACCACTCCAAGTTCTTCCTGAAAAACCTAGAGGAAAATGTATAGAAATGACCTCTGCGTCCATTACCTGTATAATTGATCATCTAGATCAATCGGACAAACATGCTTATCTATTAGATACCATGGAATGAGAGAAAAGTCTAAGAGCAAACATCCTGATTGTACCGGTCAAGTTTACCTGAAACGTGGTGTAAAAGTCCTCTTCAACGTTTCCTTCATAGGTAAGGAGTTCCCAAGCCCATGAGCAAGATCCTGAAATGTACACACAAGCATGTACATTAGACAAATATTCTGAATTTGCAACGTTTTATATCTGTTTTTCTCCTTTGCAGAGGAAGGAACACTTTTCAATACAAATCATAAAAAACTGCATTGAAAATACAATGGAGTTGATAATGTCTCAACATATGTAACATTATGTGAAGTATCTGTGACCGTGTGAGCATTTAATCTTATGTAAAAGGGCTGCACTTCATTTTAGTTCAAAGTCAGTGTAGCTAATAAAATAGTACTGGTAATAGCAGATGAAAGAATGTAGCGATTAGAAAGTACCAGTAGCTTTCTTTTTTAAGAAAGTAGCTTCAGAGGTTCCACGTTCACATTACCTTTGGAAAAATTTTGAAACAAGGAAGCAAACAACGCCCGTAGGCAGTTATGTAAGTTTGGAGGAAGCCAGAGACTGTTAAAACAGAACATCTGGCTCAATTAAATCTGACTTTGCAGTAACATGAGTGAAGGGAAATCAATAAGAAAGAGGAGCTTAACTAGTTTTTCAAAATACAATCAACTTCTTGTACATTATCTTTCAGTATACAGACTAGTCTGTATAATGGCAAAGATTGTTGCTTCAGAAGAAATAGCTAATATTGGGCGCCCTCTGCTGGACACAGGGGAGGCAATGGCTGAATCTGAACAAGCATATCATTATGTCTCAAAAGAAAACAAATTAGCTTTGTAGTACACAGGAACCATTCAGTCATGATTACCCCATGCGTTTCTAATTGAAGGAATTTAAAACTTACTAAGTCTAATAATATACCATTTAAAAAAATAATGATATAGGGGAGAGCAGGGGTAGTTGGCAAACAGTGTTGTTTCTTGCTGCAATGTTCGTATCTCATAGTTTTGAGTCAAAAGTTGCACAAATTGCACAAATGTGTGTTTTCTTCAGCGATGACTTTGCATGTTAGTCCAATTCTTGTTGGGAAAATAAGTGAATACCCTACTGTTCAAAATTTTGGAGTTGCTAAGAATATTTAATGTTTTTGAAAGAAAAGTATCTTATGCTCACCAAGGCTGCAATTATCTAATCAAAAATACAGCAAAAACAGTAGCGTAGTGAAATAACTACATTAATCAATTTAAAAATGTAATTTATTCCTGTGATAGCAAAACATACTGCACATCATCATTATTCCAGGAGTGACGAGATTCTTCATGTACTGTGTGCTGATTTGGATTTCTTAAGTGTTTGAATTAATACTTGAATTATAACAAACATTTCTTATTAATATAAATGTAAAAAAAAACTATTGTGCTGCTTAATATTTTTTTCGAAACCATGATACATTTTTTTTTTTTTTTCAGGATTCAGTATTCTTCAAAAGAACAGCTTTAATGCCCTTACTGAAAAACATTCAGTACGTTCAGTAGGTCTGATTTTAATAACGAAACGTCCCAAACTTTCATAATTAAAATCAGACTTGTATACATACAGACGACTTTGTTTGCTAGCTTGTTTGTTTCATAATTAACAGTACAAGTATCTGTAATTGGAAATTTTGTACTTGATATTTTGCTAAATTAGAAACAAGACATGGTAAACTAGCATGTGAAGGATTAAGGAGTTCAAAATAAAATAAAATCATGACACTTCAAAGGGTGTTGTGAGAATCACAAAACAGGCATAACTAAAAGAAAGCCAACAGAGTGCTATTACCAAACAATGCATCATCTGAGGCTTACTAGTCGCATCCAGGAGACAACAGGCGTGTGTGAGCCTGTAATGGCTGGGTGACACCCTGGAAGTGCAAACGATAACGCAAATGCTATTTCTGCTTCCAGTGACTATTCTGTCAGCCAATTACACTGTTTATACATGGCTGAGTGAGCTCAATGTCACCATGTAATGAGAAACAACCTAAATAGAGCATATAAGCAATTATATGGGCTGTAGAATATTTTATATTGGAATATAATGTGTGACACTGCACAATGACATCTGGTGGTTCACACTAGTGACTTACAAACTCTGTGTTCATCAGGATTGGACTGGTTAGAATCAGTGTTGTGCAAGTTACTTCCAAACTGTAATACATTGGGTATTACTTGTTACTGTTATTTAAAAGTAATTCATTACGTTACAATATTACTGTCCCAGAATTGTAATGCGTTACATTACTCATGTATTACTTTTGAGTTACTTTCACCAAAATAACTAATTAGAACTTAACTTTTGGGCTGTAACGATATGCAATATGAAACCGAAATCGCGATTCGCCACACGACTCAGATCCACGAACCTACAGAATCGCGACCAGTGTTGGGAGTAACGCATTACAAAAGTAATACATTACAGTAACATATTACTTTTTGCTGTAACGCAGTAGTGTAAGGCATTACTAATCAATTTTCAGTAATATTTTACTCGTTACATGTTCAGTGAGGCTTGTATTACAGTTGTATTACAGTGTATTGTCTGCTTTTATTTCTTAAAGGCAACAGACTATGTGAAAGTTTTAAAGCAGTCTTTTAGTGCCAGTTCAGAGCGGTCGCGTCTGTAACATTGTTTTTTCCTCATAAATGCGAACACGAAAACTAAAATAAAATGAATATTTTAAGTTCTATGGAGACTGGAGAGCCAACCCTTCCTCATCCGATTTGCGCAGTGTAATTAACAGAATTACAAAAAATATATTTTGCCTCCTATTTTTTTGTCACGCATGAATACAGTGTCTTTTCCCTAATATTAAAAATAAAACATAGACTGATATTTGTCTAATGTCTGGAGTCCTTTAAGGAAGTAGCCTATATACGTTTCAATACATGTATTTTCGGAGAATTTTTATTTCAAGTTTTGACTGCAAATGTCATCATGTCCATAAAGCTGGACTCCCCCAATTTTAAATAATTTATCCTCAACTAGTTTTGTGGTGTAGGTCTACGTATTTTATAATGTTAACTTCAAATAATACTAATAGCCTAATTTAAAGATAAGGCAGCATTGGATATGGACGGTAAGGAGAATAACGCTGGGAGTTGGAAGAGGTGTGTCGCGATTCTGTAGGTTCGTGGATCTGAGTCGTGTGGCGAATCGCGATTTCGGTTTCATATTGCATATCGTTACAGCCCAAAAGTTAAGTTCTAATTAGTTATTTTGGTGAAAGTAACTCAAAAGTAATACATGAGTAATGTAACGCATTACAATTCTGGGACAGTAATATTGTAACGTAATGAATTACTTTTAAATAACAGTAACAAGTAATACCCAATGTATTACAGTTTGGAAGTAACTTGCACAACACTGATCGCGACACACCTCTTCCAACTCCCAGCGTTATTCTCCTTACCGTCCATATCCAATGCTGCCTTATCTTTAAATTAGGCTATTAGTATTATTTGAAGTTAACATTATAAAATACGTAGACCTACACCACAAAACTAGTTGAGGATAAATTATTTAAAATTGGGGGAGTCCAGCTTTAATGGACATGACATTTTGCAGTCAAAACTTGAAATAAAAATTCTCCGAAAATACATGTATTGAAACGTATATAGGCTACTTCCTTAAAGGACTCCAGACATTAGACAAAATATCAGTCTATGTTTTATTTTTAATATTAGGGAAAAGACACTGTATTCATGCGTGACAAAAAAAT